TTTATCCAGTGTCGCTCAGTCATGTAATTTTTACAATATTTGTTGTAAAAGGTACAAATTTAATATGGGTAGGGCTAAATTCACAATCTAAATCTACACCCATACATAGAATTTATGAGGCTTGGCAGAAACTTTTGCAATAAAAAAACTAGACTTTTTTTTTTGGTGAAAATAAATGGTGCTAATTTGGATTTAAAATTTACATAATTATGATGATCTTAAAAATTTTGACTTTTTTTAATTCACTTTGATGGCATTTATTTTTTCCTCTTATTTGGTGGAGACTAGAGAGAATGTTTTTATCTCTTTCTATCATATAAGAGGAGGTGAGTGATTTAAAAAAAAAATTAACTTTTTATGCATTAACAGTGTAGTATTTTTCACACTAACAGTTATAGTTATATGCTACACATGCATGATTTGAATTTCAAATTTGAGTTCATATTATGTCCTATTAATGTAAAAAAAATTGTACAATGACTGTGTCTAAAAAAAACTCACTCTTTTTTTTAATTGTGTTAAAAAAATATTTTTGCCTTTTTGGCACATTACACTTCAAATTTGATTGAAATATAATTTTAGAAAACACTAGTGGATCAATAATTGAGATAATCGTATCAAACAATTTTAATTAATTAAAATTTATAATTAATGTTTTAAACGTCTCTTTTAGTACGAAAGACAAGTTTTTGTACGATGTGAAAGACAAGTTTTTGTACGATGTGCCCAAACCGCAACCTATATAGAAAGTGATGTAATCTATCACACGTGAAGAGAAAGAGCGATAGAAAGATTAGTTAGCACATCTACATGTGTCAAAAGTCACAATCTATCGCAACTTTAGTACCACAAAAACCTCTTCCAACTAGGGATAGTAATTGGGGTGAGTGCCCTTTGAAAGTTGATGGGGCGGGACGGGAGGCCATTTTCTCCTCCTGTTCAAAAATAGGGTGAGAAATGGGAGAGTATACTTCCAAGTCCCACCCCGTCACCTGCCTAAAATAAATAAATATATATAATATTTAATATTATTTGTTATACTAACAATTATACATTTATACTAAGACAAATCATTGATTAATTATATCAATAAATTTATACAAAATTACTAATCACACTTTTTACTAATTATGTATTCACTCTATTAGCCCCTTCCGACTCCCAATTGCCATTCCTAGTCCCGACAACGAAACTAAATAAGCAATTTTATTGAAGTAAAGAACCACCACAATAAGCAATTCAAACGTAAACATGCTGAACCCGGAAAGGCCCAAATAAAAGAAGCTAAAAGCTCAAGCCCGTAAACTCTGCATTTGAATTTGCCGCTAGACTGGGACCCGAACTCCCGAACAACGTAGGAAAAGGAAACCACTACTTTCCTAATACCGAAAGCCTATATAACAACCACTCTGTTCATTGTTCTTCTCGCAAAAAATTTACTAGCAGAAGTTAAGAAGCAAGTGATCATATCGACGTCTAGGTTTCATTCCTCGGTGCTTGAAGAGTAAGCAGACCATTATCGTAGATAGCCTCAAGAATTTCTTGTTTTCTTCATCTTCCTCGGAAGGAGTCATATTTCTTTGATCACCTAGTAATAGGGTTCTTTTGGATTTTGCAATTTCGGTTCTTGGGTTTGGTTAAGATTGTAGATTTTAACATCTATCATTGTAGGGTTTGTTTCCGCCATTACCATCCAACATGACTGCTGCTAGGAAGGGCGCAGTTGGGAAGCAGAACGATTTAGCAGACAGAAAATTGACTTCTCGAATTAATGGGAGCAACAACAAAGGAGCGGCCCAAGTCCTAGTAGTTCTAGATGGTAATCAAAGGAATGGGAAAAAGAAGAGAATAATGGATACATTAAAAAGGTTGCGATGCAGCAAGAACAGGATTGGCGCAGGTACTTTTAAGCCTAAGCAGCAGCAGGAAAAGGGTATTGTGACGATTACCACCGGTGATCAATGCTGCTGTACGAGTGAAGCTAATCTTGCCGACGAATATGTTTTGAAGACGGCGTTATGTGCTGCAAGGTTAACACCCCGCTTCGCCGAAATTATTTCCGTAGCAAAAGCTGCAAAATTTAACGTCGATCAAGAAAAGGAGAGACCGGTAAAAAAACAGGGCAAAGAGGAAGAGGAGCTAAGATCAGCCGAGCAATTGAAGAAGAAAGAAACTGAATTGAGGCAGAGGGAAAGAGAAGCTGCCCGCGTTGGGTTACAGATGATAGAAAGCACTGTTGATTTGGAAGACAATCTCATGATTGTGAAGGAACTTCAGCAACTAAGTCAGTGTGCTCCCTCTTACATTATCCATGGATGCAACGGACCAGCAGTGATGGTATTGAGAGGTTTAAAGAATGGCAAAGTTTTGCACCCTTTAGAGCAGCTTGGCTTGCACTTGAAGGAGGAATTCAGGGCAGCGGATGATGATGAAGACGCATATTTGAGTCGTGGGGAAGTAGAAGAAGGAGAGATCATCGAATCCTAGTATTTTTGCACATCAAGTTAACTTGCACTGTAGATATCATTAAGTTTTTCAAATTGTTAACTTTTGTTCATAACTTGATATATTGAATTCGACCTTGAGTTGCAGCTTTGATTTCTTGTTTTGTATTACTAATGTGAGAGTTCATATAGCTATTTAGTTTTGTACATATCTTGAGTTTATGAATTCTTGTTTTGTACGTTGATGAATTCAGAGCTTGAGTTTATGCTAGTTTTTCACTGACGAGTAAATTGAAGGGGTTTATGCTTACTTGACAGTTCAGTTTTCACTTAAACACAGTCATCCGTTCAAGATGAAGGCATTTTCTTGTTTCATGAAAGAGTGGTAGAATAAAAAAAATTGTCCAGGTATTGACATCTCAGCAGAGCTATGCATAAAAGGTAAGGTTATTTGGTGTATCTCAGGTTCCTGAAAGCTACGAAAAACCTAAGAATTGTCTTGAAATTTAGTACTAATTTCAGCTACTGTCACAAGCTGCCATTCAGCTGTTTAGTGTTCTGCTATACATGACCCAAAGTGTTTGATTAAACTACGAAGAACATAATAATAATACGTATGATCGTCCTTTATACCTTGAAGAAGGCCTTTGAGAAAAGAAAATTGGAGATCAGAAGAAGCAGAGCAATCTATTCTATCTCATTTTATAACGATAATGGTAGATTTTAGGCATTACCAATTTGACTAGTAGCCTGCATGGATGTTGTATTCTATCCCCAATTACCCTTGTTTGCTCATCCTTTGTGTGCAGATTACAAAAGCACCCTCTCTTTACTGCATAAGTAATGCTTGCAAGATACACCGGACTAATTGTTGCACACCTGCACCTAGCAGATGCGACAATTGCAAGTTCCATTTTTATGTTCCATTAATGAGTGTAAACTTCACGAGATGAGACAGCGGTAGAGTAATTCATGCTTGTTGGGGTGAAGGGGACAGAAAAGTCCAAACCAGCCTACTTTTGAACAGTCTGTGTTACATGGTGCAATCTGTTTCTGTACTTGGGAGAACCAAATCCATTTTAACTTCTTGATTCGGAAATAGAAAAAGTCCTTGCTTTTACACTCTGATTATCGATTAGAGGAATTAATTAGAACAACCTAGCTGTCTGAAATTTTTGTTGTACTTCTGATCATCCAGGTAATTCCAGGACCAGGAATTCTCTCAATTGCCTCTGTGGCAATATCCAGGATATTCCAGTTAATAGTTATTGGATCTTAAGAAAAAAAAAAAAACTAAAACATGATGTTTATGAAGGAGAAATAGCAACATGATAAAAAAAAAGGGACAGAAACTGTCACAGAGAATGGGATAGAAGATCTGTTGCACAATTTATGGGAAAAAAAATATAATTCTAATCAAAATTCCAAACACAAATTTATTTTCAAGACATTCTAGCTACACATTGTAATTAGAAAATCCCAAAAAAAAAATAAAGGAATAAAAAAAGGAAAAGAGAAAAAGTCTGAAGATAATTGTATCTATGTTTAGAAAAAAATTACTGCAAGCATCATTTATATAAGATAAATCAATTTACAAGAATTAATTTATCTTATATATTAAAATGTATATTTAATTATTAACATATAACATAGAAGTGCAAGCCATAGGATGAAGAGACGGTGAAAAATAAGGATTGTTTTTTATTTTGGATTTTCTTGAACATAAGCATGCCATACGAGAGAAGGAAAAATAAATTCAGAATATAATGTCAGCTCATGTTGTGAGAATATCTTTATTTTTTTTTCCCTCTGAACAAGCTTGCAACAAGAAACACTGGAGTTGACTTAGTGATCAGGGGAACGCTTTTAAAGTTCTCCTTATTGTCAAATTTAGGATTCGAATCTTGGAGATGGGAGGTTTAAAAGAACAAAAAAAAGCTTGTAACAAGAAAAGAACAAGTACAAATGTCTTCCTCAAATCCTAATTAAAACGAGTAAATATTAATGTTTTTCTTATTTTTTTTTATCAAGATATCTTGGAAACTTGCTGTCATGAGATGGTATGACAAGGAGTGGAATCTCTCAACATTGTTGCTTCAACAATTTTTTTTTTCATCTAGAGCAATTTTTGTTATTTAATTAGTGTTTATTAATCGTGTAAAAGAGTAGATGATCCAGAGCCATGGAGGGACATGAAAACCTTATCTCCTAATTTAAATGAAATGCAAGACACAGAACCTTACCATTGTTGCTGCACCATTAGTTCCATTGCAGTGAACCTGCAATCTGACATCAAATGAAACCACCCCAGGGAACGGCTTGAGCAATTACACTTGCCTTCAAATGGTTCAAACTTTGCAAGTTGATTCTGGATAAAATTTATTTATCTTTTTATGCCTGACCGTTGTATTTGAGCACTTGCAAAAACAGAAATTATTGAATGAACTTCTTTTGAAGGAATAAGATGTTTTAATTCTGCTCAGAGCTACTAAAAACAAATGCATGAAAATCAGTTTGAAAAGAATCGCAAATTTCTCTACACATAGGATAGGCAACTTGCTTGGGTTAAGGAGTTGACATTGTCAAAAGGCATTGACCCTTGAGAATGCTTACTCTTAAGCTGGAAGCCAACCTGTTTTTGGTTATAACCAAAGGTCTGACAAAGTAGTAACAGGCTTGGTGACAGCTGCTATTTCTAGCACAAAAACTTAGTATATGTTAACATCCTGAGAAGGATTAAGGCACTGTGTGGTCACATCAAAAGGCAATTAGACTAAGAAAACCCTGGAAATACTATACATATTTGCGCCAGGTGCAATTACAGAGTCAGTCAGACAGTCATCATTCGGCTAGCATGATTGAGCAAATTATTGAGTGAAATTAAAACCAACTTGAAATCCTCCTAGGTTCTTCAAATTGTTGTGCAAATCATCGAGCACTCTTTCAAGTACCAGCTACAGCATATTCACTTGTTCACAAAAGCACTTCATTCTGCCTCATGAATTTCCTGCCACTTCGCTCTTGATGCTGCATTTTAACCACCGTATATGTACCGATTATGAATGCTGGTAGGAATTGGCCAAGGACAGTGCTAGGCCTAGAGCTTAAGAATGAGACCAATTGGACAGTGATCACTGCCTGTAACATCTGGGAGAATGTACGAGTCGTGAACCTTGTCCGCGATACAGTCTGAGACAAGGAAGTAATCCAGCCGCCATCCTGAATGTTCTAAAAAGCTTAGTTCAAAGAAAACCAGGGACTTGCATCCAGCACAAATGATGCAAGAAACTCCTTCAAGCAACAAGTCAAAAAACAACAAAAGAGCAACTATGCCTAGGCTGAGATGGTTAAGGAACATAACCCAGATTTTAACCGGTAGAGTGATGATGGCTAACTCAAATAAGTGGATGATGATATCACCAACTATCCTGAACAAATAACCGTAGTGCCCTGACTTTGGAATAGTGATTCTAAAATGAGCAGGAATGACATGCCACATCAGATAACAAAACTATTACCATATTAGGGCCAAACAGGATCACGTTGGAGTTTGAGAATTGCGGAAAAGTTTAACTATGATTACAATACATAATCTATTCTATTTGACTTTTAGATGAGTCTATATATGTGCTGTACTGCTGCACATATGTTAAGAAAAAAAAGAGATAACAGGAGCGAATTATGTGCACAAAATTGTGATGAAAATCTAGTTATATCACCTGTTTAATGTCCTAATACATAATAATCCATACCATTATAATCAGAAAAGAGCGACAAAGCAAAAGGTTCAAATTTAGCCTATATAATTCAGAAAGTGGGAAGCAGAGGGATGAGAGGCTGTGAATAAACCAAGCACGGAAGATTATGCTTTGTGAATAGCTCAGTCATGAAACACCCAATCCAAGTCCTTGCTAGAGCTTACTTAGATCAGGGAGAGGGACTTGGTATCCTGTGTGCAGAAAAAAATAGCTGGCAGGCAGGTATGCAATACAGACATATAAAAAACTAAGCATTTTGGAACACATTTGTTCTTTACACTCTCTAATAATTGTATTCTGCAACCAAATAAACAGCTCATGATGCATTTACAATATGCGAGGGTTGAAATAATACAAGTTTTCAAACAGAGAACAAGTGAAAGCATCACATGGTACGAAATGTAAATCCTAGCAACCTTCTATATATGAAGTGATCATGCATAGCATGTCCTTGATTTTGTTATTGACATCAACTTCACCCCAGAAGGAAAATGATACGTCAAGAGATGCCTTATTTGGATATTCACAATCAAATTTATAAACAACAAAAGGACCCAAAAAAACTATTGCACAACACACCTTTATTAGCCTTCCGTCCACCATGTCTATACCCCCAATAAGTATAGCCAACAACACCAGGATGCTGCCTCCTGAAGGTATCCACGAAGCCCTTATTTAAGAAGTTTGTCTCAAATGATTGTCTTTCTTCAACTGTGAACCCAGCACTTCTTTTATTTCCCTATACAGGAATGCAACAAAAAGCGATTATCAGCATACTAACTATGCTAAAATTTCTCTCCTTCTTTCTACCCTTTTGCCACAGATGGAGGAAAAAGAACAACTAAAATGCCAAAGGCAAGAAAATTCGGTCCACTTCAAGTTGAATGTTCAAAAGAATGATTGCATAGTTCATTATCTCATTATGAACTGTTATATAGGTAATCTTTATGCGTGATACTACAGTGCTTCTCAATCCTTCATACCCGGCATAACATGCATCCAAGAAAAGAAAAAAAAAAGAAAGGAATTTGGGGGGGAGGGGGGTGGGGTTGGAGCTTGTCAGGAACTCATCCATATGGACTTGAAATTTCTGTCAGGCATTAAGCATACTGCATTGAAATTCCTTGCTCTGCATCAACATATGTAAAACTTTTATTCTGAATTCCTTTCTTTAAAAAAAAAAGGCTCCAATCTGTTGATATCATGTATCTCAAATAGGTGTCATATGCAGTTATAGAAGATTTAGAATTTGCCCTCATCAAGGATTAGTTTTTCTTGCTATCATTACTTATTAGCAAGACTGAAACTAAATTGACTATATGTAGACACAGATGAATTCTGATCACATGACTCTGTTAATCTGCTATTTTCTTGGTCTCAAACTAGGGGACAAATGGACAACAATATACACTTCTTAAAAAGCCAGAACTGTAGTACTCACAGCAGGATCATGAATGTCAATCTCTTGATGAGCACAATTCAAATCACCAGTCAATATGACAGGCTTATATTTTTCTAGTTCCTGCAAAGTATATACACAAGACAGAACCATTAAGTACTGAGGAAAATTCAGCAGCACAGTAGCATGTACTCAAGCTGATTTATAATTCGTGCCACAACTCAACAAGATGTAAAAGTTCATCACACTTGATGCCTCTTCTAGAATTACATGTACCAAATTAAGGAAGAACATAGAAATACCTCAAATAAGTACTAACTCATAAAAACAAATAATTCAAAATTATATACAAAATTCCTCGACATATTAAAATCCAGAAAAAGGTATAATTATCACTATGAAGTACCATGATTATCCTGAAGATTAAAACCTGACTTAGTCAACAAAGAGCTCATGAAAATACAAAAATAATGATTTCATAATTTTTCTCCAGCTTCAATTAGGCATCCCTTGACTATTAGAAGCCTATTTAGGAATTGGAATATCCCAATTAAGTGTCATTCTAGTATTTAATTCCTCAGCTTCAGTACTTTCCACAATTTTAGTTCTCAAGGCTATTTTATTCTTACATTTATTTGCAGGAAATATCTTGGAATTGTGCTAGTGAGTCTTATTTAGGTAATTTAGTGTATATAAGAAACTAATTGAAGTCATAGAAGTTACATGAGAGTACCAGAAGTATTTTGCTTATGAATTAAGATAGAAAGCAGGAATTCTATTCAGACTAGAAATCTATCTTTCAGAATCTTCTTTCTAGGTCTTCTTATGCAGGGATTAATCAAATAAAGAATTAAGTCGTTTGTTTTCCAGCTATTACGTTGTTCTTCCTAAACATTTCCATTAATCCCTTCTTCTCCCATATTTTTCCCCTTATTACCATTCACAGCTCGAAAATACTTTCATTCTTCTGCTGCCGCTAGTAGGCAAGATCACCCCTATCTTGTCCTACATCACTTCTGCTATTCATCTCTTTCAAAATAAACTAAAACTAGCACAACACATTAGAATCAAAAAATGCCAAGGAAAGGGACCATTCTGACAAGAGAAGAGAGAGAAGAAGCACCAAAAACCTTCAAATTAAGAGCACATTGCAATATGCGTCAGCACAGTGGTAACTGTGCAATAACAGGAAGAAAGATGACCAATTACCAGACTATCAGTTCATTCGTGTAAAAATTTAATTTGTGAATCATCTCCTAAATGTCATATATAATTCCCCTTTCTCTTCCAGGGTCTAGCTTATGCAGGCTAAGTGGTTTAGAGCAGGGATGAAGTAACAGGGGTGCTATCATACGTAAAGGTGTTATTTCAACCTCTATGGACCAAAGGTGTTATTTCAAATGCAATTGGTTATGTATCAATTTGTTTGGAAGAAAACACTATAGATAAAGAGGAAAGAAATGGGAAAGCTTCAATGCACAATAAAGAAGAGACATACTTACTTTCAAGTAGTTACCAAGACACGGATCCCACTCGGTTATTCTGTATGACTAAAAAGAAACTAAAGTCAACCAAAGTTCCATTTGAGAAGCTAGGTTTCCGAGATAAGATCACTAAACATTCAAGAATTATTTACCAGTCGCTTCAGACCATCACCAGAATTAGGCACGTATCCACTCAACAAATAGAAGTTGTCAAATTCTGCTGTCACAAGGCGTCCTTCAGTGTCGTGATCTGAGATGCCCAGACCATATCTGACAGAAAGTGGTTTCATCTGTGAATGAACAGGAGAAATGGTAACAGAAAAATGACAAGTTAGCAGGGCATTTACCATCTTAGCCAGTATCATGAACCAAAACCAATTCATTCAAAACTGAGAAGAAAGATACAAGCTATTGTCACATTGCTGTGCACAAAAGGATCATATAGCTCCAATCCACAATCAATTAAATTCCAATATAGTAGTCCCTCAGGATTAAAGGATCATAACCATAATGTTTATAAAATGAGAGACTGGGTCTCACAACATCAGGCTTTTAATGACCATGACAGAAGGAAAGGAAAAGAAGAAAAAGGCATACCCGTGAAATGATTGCAGTCCCAGAATACCCAAGTTTCGAGACGCTACACGTCCAAAAGCTATGGTCATAATCTTCAAGAAGAGTATGCCTGATTGCCTCAACATCTTTCTCCTATTTTTCAAGAGATTAGACAGCAATTAACTATTAACGGCAAACAGAAGGCAGTTAGTTGGCATAAATTACACAAGGCTTCATATATGATGATATAAAATTGTAACACAGTATTCATCCAATGAGTAATTTTCAAAGCTTATTAAAACACAAAATTTGCTTGATTGAAACAAAAAAGTCATCCTACTAGTTAGAGTAATGTAACATGACAAGATAATCAGTTTTGGGGACAGTTATAATGACTACTACTACCAAGGAAAAAGTATTTCATTTTAAGAATTACCTATAAACTTGAACATTTAGATTTTAAGAATCCTGACAGGCTAGATGAGCTCGAAGAAAAGCACTGGAAAATGGAAATCATTGATTTAACAGATCTTTCCATAGAATGAACCAACTTTATAGGCATTGCTTTATTTGCAAAATTTGGACAAGAGAAGTCAGAGGGCTTTCTAATACTAAAGTGCTTTATGTGAATTCTATCCATGGCTCTCTGCATTTCAATTATGGAGATGTTTTTGTTCTCTATTTCTTCCCCTAGTTGGTCACTTGCCAGGCGAAGAGAGGATCCCGCTGTAACCCATCAGAAATTTGTTATAATGTGCAAAATAATAATGAAGACTATAATAAACAGTAGAAAAAAAATTTATAAAACAGAGAAATAACAAGATTTACATGATTCTGACAATTAGTCCAAAGTCCATGAGCGATGAGAGCAAATTTTACTAGTATGAACCAAAAAGAAGATTACAAAGATTAGGAGAAATTTTCTAAAGCCCCACATATATAAAAAAGAAAGATACTACAAGACACCAGAGAAGCTAAAATAGACAAAAGGGAAAGACCAAAACTGAACTGAAGCTTTTTGCATATGGATGTTTTGGAGAGTTTGAACCTCTACTCCATCTATTTATAGTCAAATTCAAGTTGAAACTTGCACAGTCTATGAAATATATTGGCAGCCAGGACATGCTGAATTAATTTTCAGCAATTCAGTCCAAATACGGATGTTATCCAAGTTCTGTTGGCAAAGGCTGACAGCATTTGATATAACTTACGTTAAGCTGAATAAAAAGTATAAACAAATCCACAGTAGGAGGGGGAAAAATGGGAAATCTCATACTTCTATTTTTTTGGGAACGGGGCCTAACCGTTCCATTCCACTCTGCAGTATCTAAGTGATGATTTTCTTTATGAGTTATGCTGTAAACAAGTTTAAACTCTGTTCAACTAAAAATTAGGTTATTCTTCAATCTCTCAAATTTTACTTGCGTATGAACTCACAATCATGCCTCACTTTAGTCAGTAAGGGCAGTTATCCCATTGTGAGAACAACCATTTGGGGGCTTTCATGGTGAACTGAAACAGTTAAAGAATGGCCCAAATAAAAGGCATTTATCAGGTTTATTATATCAGCATCCAGGATAAGGTACAGTCCTCAACATATCCATGGAGAAGGCAATACATTTTGAAAGAAATATAATCAGTTAATTGAACAATAGCCTAAAAGAAGCACCTAATCAATGAGCTCATTGACTAAAATCAAGTTGTTAAAAACTTGCCTGAAGTTTTGTCTCTTGCAAGCACAGAACATCAAAATCTTCTCTTCTAGCCAGTTGCAGTGCAGACAAGCTCTCCAACTTTAATAGAGCTCTCAAACCGTTTACATTCCAGGACATTAGCTTAACATGCTTAATGTCACCAGCAAGAGGAGGAGGCCGCATGATTTTGGGATTGTATGCAACCCACCCTTTTTGGGGCTTCTTATGAGTGAGAATTGTCCAAGGTTCTCCAGAGGAATGAACAGAATTGGATGCTTCAGAACTCATATTGATGACTTCTGATGAGACCTTTCTCTTTGTCGTAATTGATCTCTTAGCTGTAAGCATAGATCGTTATTCACTTTGATTAGTTTAAAATAATGCCAAAATAGACACAACTTTAATGAGACAGGAAAAGAAAAAGAAAGGCCCAATGGAAGCACCTATTGGCTCAGGATACTCAATAGATTGCTCATCTTGTGCACTCGATCCCATTCTGTTGATTTCAACTTTGTTATGGCCGATAAGGCTTTCTTCTACCTTTCTCTTAGTTCGTTTAGTTCCAGAGCTTCTAGTCATAACATGTTCTCTGCAAGGCAAACTTCCAGCTTTTTGAGAATTGCTTTCATTGGACTTCTTTCGAGAAGATTCATGATCATCTAGCTCCAAATAACCTGTGCCTGAAGCAACAGGGAAATTTTAAGCATTAGAAATCAGTACAGAAATGCAAAGGTTGAAAAATGTGGAAAAGGCAACAATCAGATTTAAAAAGAAATTCCAATTTTCTGATGGAAAAAGCTCTATATATTTTTTGATTCATGAAGCATAGTTTCCATGGATGGGGAATACCATCTGTTTTGCTTTTAACGAACTCCTTCCAGGCAGAGACAAGTTCATTCTTGGAACCTTTGGCTGGAATTCCAACACTCCTGCAGATCCGATAACCATAAGAACCCACTTCAGCCATAAATCTAAATCAATTATTGCCAGTGCAATGCATGTAAAACCTCCTGTTATGCATTTAGAAATTAACTGGACACAACCCATAAATATTGCAAGCTTTCAACTCAAAATTGGTCCTATTCGCCAATCTTCTAAAATGCAGCTCCAAATCAGCTGAGCACTTACCAGGTTGTGGCCATTGTACACATTAAAAGGCGAACAGAAACAAATAACTGGATAGGCATGTGGACATTAGTCTGGTTTTCCACTCATATAAAACATAGAGTGCAGGGAGTTTTAAAAAATGCAGATTCAAAATTTCTTCAAAATTCCCTAGCCAATGGCAAAGAAAAACTCCATGGGCTGCATAGAAATAACAAATCTAGCTCTCATTTTTCCTCACATACACTCTAATGAGATTAAACCAAACTTACTACAACAGATCTAGAAATCTAATGCCCAAATCAAATGAGAACCCAAAATTCAGAATGAGACCAACTCTGTTCTGCTAATTTCTGATTGAGTTCTCTCTATTGACAAGCACTCCCATAGTCCCATACACAAACAAGTAATAGGAAAGCATCAGCGCTCATCGGCTGAGCAAAACAATGACCACCGCAATATAATATTGAAGGAAATGAAGACAAGGAAAGAAAGATGGGCGCTCATTTATCTGTTCCATTAGAAATAAATTGATACTATTTTCCACTGCCCAAGAACCGCCCTTTCCTCTTCCAGTTTGATCAAATCTTTCCTTCAATCATCAAACATAACAAAAGATTACCAATGCTACAGAGTTAATTGTACTAAAGTGGTAATAGTAAATTTTCCAAATTGGCTTCTCTGAGAAAACTCTTCAACTTTCAAAGTATTCAAGGTGATAGCTACTTATAACTAATAACTTCACCTTCTATGATGATATAAAATGGCTAAATGCATAGTAGAGAGGGTAAACCACTGGCTGTCGACTATAATTCCTATGATGCTAATTTGATGCAACAAAACTCAAACTAATACTATCTGCAACAAAAGCTCTGCCCTTTTCCGCTCTTAATGAACAACAGGATAGAAAATACAGGAAATTCCAAAACATCCAGACACCATACAAAAAAAGAAAAGCAAAGACTAACATACCTTAGTTTAACTCGGAGTTGCTGGACTGTCATTTTCTCTACTTTATCCAAATCAATTTCAAGAATCTCATCTAGACTTATGCCACCCTTAGGAGAACTTTCCTACATCAAAAATGAGAGGAAAAAAAAAAAGCTTGAACTATGATAAATTACTCGAAGATAAGATGCATTGAATGAAGTTCAGTGGAAATAGGTATATTACTATGCAAGGATACTACCTGAATCATGTAAAACACATTCTGCAATCAAAATGCTAAAACTTTCATATTTCATCATCACGCACAAATTTACATGTTACGATCGATTCTTATCAGATTGCAAACATAGATTAATCTATGCTAAGACTTAATAGGGAAAAAAGACATTTCATTTGAGAGAGATAGCCAATGGTGAAGAGGGGCTCTTAAGGGGACAGCATATATATATGACTGAGTTTGCCGGTGCAATGCAGAACGCCTAGAATAGATTTTTCAGCAAATGTGCAGCTTACATTTACCATTTTTCTACGTTAAACAGTATTCTAATAAACTAAAATTCTTAGCCCACAAAGTATCTGAAAAAGTGCAGCTCCAAGAGTTTCTTGCAAAAATAGTACTCAAATGCAGATACACAAGGGTAACACACGTTTACATTTACATATGTAAAAGTCTATTTTTTTCCCATTTCCTTTCTTGGTTCGAAGAGTCATGTTTAATAAAGCCCAGAGAGCAATATAAGGGAAAACGGAAAAAAAAAAAAAGATGAAATTTAGAACTCTTAATTAAGAAAAGCTTACAGGTTCACCCAATTTGGCTGCAGGTGATGATAAAGGCGAGGATGATGATGCTGAGGATTTAGAATGACGTGCATTTTTAGACCCCATTGCTGACAATCTCAAAGAAGCCAAGCCCACAAATTTACTATTCCTTGCACTCACTGCAAAACTATCAAAATTAACAGTTACAAAAACAAACTCAACAAATTTCACTATAGTTCTTGCAAAAATTCACAGAAAAATGAAAACTTTTGAGTGCAGGCATGCTAGTTTCAGCATTTTGTGCTCTATGAAATATACCTAGTGAAAGTGAAACCTCGGAAATTTTGGAATCCTAATTTGAGAGCAGCTTGTATCATCGAAATGGGGCGGGGATTTTGGAAGGAGTGCTTAATAAAGTTACTGCAGAGAGGCAGAGACCACTCACTCACCAGCCTTTGGAGAGTTCCAAGAAAAACAAGGCCACGTTCGGACTTTCTTTTTTAAAAAAAAAAAAGAAAAAAGTTGGGAGAATGGTTAATCACAATAAATTCCCTGGGGCTAGTTTGGGAGTTTAGGAGTGAATAGAAAGAAGGGAAACAATAAGTTATGAGAGAAAAGATGCATATTTGGTTTTGGAGTTTAGAAAAGAAAAAAGTAAAGGTATTAATTCTATTTTGGAGTACAAGAGGAAAGGCAACAAAAAAAATTACATGTTAACTTACTCTATATGCATCTCTTTTAAGTTTAATGAACCTAACCTTTAGAAAAGAATGTATGGATGGTATGCTAAAGTAGGGCTGCAAACGAGTCAAATCGAATCTTGTCCTATTCGGGTCGAGCTCGATTTAATTTTATCAAATTCGAACTCAACGAACTCTCAATGTGATAGCTCGAGATTGACCTCGATTCAAATTCGAGTTGAGTTTGAACTTGAGTTTAAGTTTAAAAAAATAAAAATAATTATTTTATTTTTTTAAAAAAATAAAATAATAATTTTTTTAACAAATAATAAAATATTAGAAATATATGTAATTTTACTATTAAAATATATATATATATATATAATCGATCCCGCTCGTGAGCTAACAAACTAAGTATCTTTGAACTTGAGTTCGATTTGGTCAATTCGAACTCGATGTTGACCAAACTCAAGTTGAGCTTTGGTTCGAACTGCTCGTGAACAACTCACTTCATTTGCAATCCTAATTAAAAGGAGAGATGGGTAGTTTCTCCAAAGTTTTGGAAGGAAAAGTTTTGTATAAAGTACAGATGGATTTCCAAACTATCCAATTATTTTCTTTCCGTTCCTACTTAATCCTCCAATTATAGAAGTATGGGTGTAATTGATTTGAGTCGAATTTAAGTAGTACACTATTAGAGTTCGAGCTCATCGAATTTGAATTCAATTTCATTTTACCTTGCTGGAACTCGATCGAATCTAATTCAATTAAGTTCAATTGAGTTTAACTAAAATAGATTTGATATAGACATTTCATACTAACAAATATAAAAGATTTATACATACATACATGCATACATACATAAACTCGATTATGTTTGACAAGTTTTTTAACCTCACATATTAGTTTCGAGATAGAACTCTTCAACCTATTCAAACTTGGTCAATGTAAGATCAAGCTCGACCTTTGACCAAGTAAGTTCACAAGTGAGTAGCCTTGCTGAGCTTAGCTTATTTGCAACACTGGATAGAAGTATTACAACTTCTCTCTTGAATTCTTTCTTTCCCTCCAAATCATTCCTTCCAAAGAAGTGTTCAGCATGTTTCTTACATTAATTTTTAACATTATAATTTTTTTTCTCACATCACCATAAAACTGTTAGATAAACGTAATTATGACGGTATGGTTAAGGTTAATTAATCCCCCAGAAGTACTATAGCTTTTGAAGTTACCTATTTCTCAAGTCATGTCTCAATTGAATGTAGGAAAGCTTGCATATGCAAACATCTAATCATACACATTGTTTGATCGCCCTTCTCTTTTAACTTATCTTATTTTGTTTGTCAAAAGTTCTCTTTTAACTTCTCAGAATGGTTAGCTTTTGAGCCATGTTAGAGTTGCTAAGCTAAAATTTTCTTTAATCAAATTCTCTGGTGTTTTGCTAATTTGAAAATATCCTCATAATTTCTATTTCTCCTATTTTTCCCCTATAAAAGCCCTTAATAAGTTGGACAATGGGACAGTTATCAATTAGATGAAAATATGGACACACATGTACTTGGGGACCTATACTAATTCATTTCCAAAAGTTAGATAAACAACAAATAATTACACATGTATTACTACATTTTTAAAATGCTAGGTTAACATGTACTTGAGTGATTAGAGATAAAAGTTCCTATTCCTGTATGAAGGTCCATTGATCCAAGTCTTGTATCCCACAAATTCTGGATACTTGCACAAGTAAGACATAACTTGCAGTACCAGGGTCTCAGTGATAAATTACTGGACTCGTCTTGTTTGAGTATGCTACATAAAAGAATCCAGCATTCTCTCACTGCATAAAAGATGAATCCAAAGTATACTACAAGATTTACAAGAAACTGCAGCTAGAAACTTGCTAAAACATCGCTTAGAGGATATAACCTTGAGTTTTATCAATACATAAGCAGTCGTTTAGATCACTGGGAGAATCCTCTTGAACAGGATGCTAAAGGGTTCCCGTGGAACAGGTCAATAAGAAGCTCACTCCCCTCTCCCCCCTCTCTGAGCCTATAATCAACTCAGATGTTACAGAACATTTTATGACATTTTGGGTGATACTTTTATGATGACAGAGTTCATGAAGAATTTTACGTATGAAGGTGCATATCATCCATACTAGGGGGTGATTGTGGGGGAATAGCATATGATCCATTTCCTGCAAAGTTCAAGACCTTTCGTATTGTAGCTTGAGACTCTTTGTAGCCAAACTTCCTGGAAGAGATTCCTTTTGTCCCAATGTTTCCAGAAGAGTTATTACTCTTAGTAGAGGACAAACTCTTTTCTTTTGTATCTTCTGACCAAGCTGACACGATAACATTTGTAAAAATGCCAGATTCCCGCAAGCCTTGTATGATCACCTATAGCAGGGAAGTAGATAAGAATGGATCGGTAAATCTAGTGTGGGAAAACGATTGCAATTGATTAGAACTATCAACGTACGTACCATAGGAGCATAAATGCGAGTCAAGATGCCCAATTTCAGAAGTTTTTGTTTTAGTGCTGTATCAGTCCATATGACGCGTTCATGGTACCTGGAGAGAATATGTAGTTCTTCAGATAGAGATATTATGTTTAAAGCATCAGCATACGCCAGCCACGAGAGAAAAAAGAGAATTTAAATAGAAAAATGATATGATATTTCAGTCTCTAAAGTGAAATATTACCACTGATGCATTTCTGCTTCTGATGCAGTTGAGGCAATTATGAAGGCCTGTAGATTGGCATAATTGTAACAGAAAATCAGCAAAGTAACTTGTAATATTTCAGTTAAAATAGGTTATTGGTTCCCCGAGTTGAAATATAACTCTATGCAGGTTTAATTGAACAGAATTATAGTCTGCAGCCTATTTCAGTTTAGCATGTTAATATATGTTCTGTGAATCAGACTTTATCCCATCAGTGAGTGTATCATACTGTGTTTAACCTGACCAGAACAAGAAATGGAGTAACTGATGAGAAAGAAGCAGGAGGAAATGGTATATATAGAACACTACCAGCATGTTAGAGTTGAAGCTCGATCAAGGACAAAGACATTACAGCAAATTAAATAAACTCAACAGGACTTCATTGTTCAGAATCCTCCTAAAGACGGTATCATCAATGAATGCATAAAACAGAATCTATACGTAAATTGAGTACAAAATGCCCAAGTGAAAACTATGCATTGCAATAAACTTACCGTAAATATCCAGCACATGGGGGTGTGCAAGCACACAGACACAAAGAGGGAGAGACAAGGTAGAGTGAACTTAAAACTCTAACCACACGCAGTTCCAACTTCCAAGATAAATACTATAGTTTAGCTTGAAACTTACATTTCTGTCAAAATCCAGCATGAAGCATCGCTTGACATCTTCCTGTGTAGGCTTACAACCACAACGATCACGTCTTGAAGTCAAATCCGAAAACTTGGAGTATGTATAGTGTAGAACAGCAGCCTCCTCAAATTTTATTTCTCTGTATTTTGAAAACAAATTTTGTTACATCATAAAAGAACTCTGATTTTTCATTTGGGGCATTGAAACAGAAAATGGACAAGGAAATTCACATCTTCTGCTACTTTTTCTTTTTTCTTGACAGGAATAGAAAAACTGAACAGTTGAATATACAATTCTTCTGACTAGCACATCAGTTCCCTTGCGCTGGCCATTTTGTATAAACCGTTTTTGTTCTAGAAAACAACCCCAAGCTCTAGTTAAATGTTTAAGTTTCTAAAAAGAACTGATCTGTCTATAATCTAAACATCCACTGAATAAGAAGCAAAAAGCACTATAAGAAGACAAACTGTACCAAATATGGCAGTGTCAACACTCCACCTACACTCCCACAACCTCATTGTCATTTTTCTTTGCACTTAATTAGATATTCACCTATTAGGCAATTTTTACAATTTCATATGAGAAGCCTTCTCTCTCTCTCTCTCTCTTCCCCCAAAATGTGGATGGTTGGTACTATGTTTTTGGCAGTTGTATTAAAAGAGTGTGAAGGAAAAGAATTTCAAGATAATAAGCCCACTGGAAACAATTTTCAACTGTGTTCTGAAGCAATAGCATGTATAAGATTTATGATGCAATTTATAACAGCTGTGAAATAGAATGTATAGGAAAAAATCAGCCAAAATGGACCCAAATTTGTATGTTTCAAGCACAACATGAAACAATCATCTCTATTTATGTGAGAAGAGGCAGTGATATAGGTCCATTTTGCAGCAGATATGAAGGAATTTAGCTAAAAAAATGGATGTTTAATTTCAGTTCATATCATAAAATGGAATCTACTTGGGTTCCTTCATGTAGTTATGCCATCTGTGAGCTCCATTGGGGCGAAGATTCTCCTCAATACGAGCAGCTGATTTCCCATTTCCATAAGTCATAAAGTAATTTGGGTTACCACGAGTTGCTGCCTTGTAACTCCCAAAGTAAGTTTCTTTGTTGAGATGATCAAAATTCTTCTTGAACATTGAGACCTATATTAAGTTGTTGACAGAGAGATAAAAGGCTTAAATACAAGAATCTGGAGAATGACCATAATTAATTTGAAAAGATACATAGAGAGAACTTACCTGTTGGTAAAAGAAAAACAAGGTTTTACATGAATGATACAGAGATTTGTAGGATACCTAAGCAATTTCTATCTATATAAAATAAAGTTTCCATCATCTAGCCTTGATGATTATGGTTGGTATGAGTTTGTCCTGGTTTGTCTTTTGGTCATAGTGTGTGTGTGAATCATCATGTAAGAGAGCAAGTCTTTCTCTTC